GGAAGACCAAATCGGCTCACCACTGAAGGATATTGGAAGGCTACCGGCTCTCCGGGTTGTGTTTACTCTTCCCAGAACCGTATCATTGGAGTGAAAAGAACCATGGTGTTCTACAAAGGAAGAGCACCAAACGGAGAGAAAACCCAGTGGAAGATGAACGAGTATAAAGCTATTGATGGCGAAGCCTCCTCAGCAGCACCTCCAAAGGTATGGCTTTTAGCCTGCCCATATATGATCCCTATGAACCAGTTTCTGTTCTTAACTTTTCCCTCTATTTTTCTTTTTTCAAATCTGAAGCAATGAGATCATAAGACCTATTAATACAGCTCAATCATTCTAAGCTTCCCATTTTAAACATGCTTTGTCAAGGGTATAAAATGTAAAAATATATAGTTAGTGACCATAAATAGCAGTTAATATCACAAACCGCAGGAAAAAAAGGGGGTGGGGGTAGGTGTTTGGAGGTAATATATGCATGAATCAATATAATTGTTTCTTGTGGTGTAGATGGTCATTTTTGACTTAGCAGCGACTTTCTTATATGAAAACCTAATTTACTCTAAACTAGAGATAACAAAATTTGCGAACAAGACAACCAATCTGACATACTGTTGTGGTAAGATTTTGAACTGACATTTACATTTCCAGATCCATAATATGAACAAGAACTAACTTTACCTGGTTTATGGTCTCAAAGCTCCCTCTACTCAGCCTTCAATAACTTCCCATAATTCAGACACAATGCTTTTCCTTGCTGAGAGAGAAAAGCTGTTTCATTTTTCATACTTGGGCTTAATTTTTGGATGTGGAGCTCTGGCTAGACGTATGATGATATCTAAAGAACTATTTCTTTATCTGATTAATTTGTTCTTAGTTAGTTTTAACTTTGCATATGAGATGCATGCAGTTACGGCAGGAGATGAGCTTGTGCCGAGTATATATTGGATCAAAATCGTTGCGGGCATTTGACAGACGCCCACCACCACCACCTGGAGAAACATCGTCTCATCATCGTCAACCTCATCACCAGGAGGACCAGCCAGCAACCATTACGTCCCATCAAACTCATCCACCGTCACTAGCAGCAGAAATAGCAAGCTCAACCTCCGGCTCCGGGGAGGACAATTTTCTGGCTTCTTCCTCCCAGGGAATGGAAAATGAGAGCCATGATTTGGCTTTTAACCCCGAACCCATGTGGGATTGGGAACAACTCAATTGGTTTTAACTCATTTTCTGCCACCAAAATCAGTTTGTTGAACTCTTAGGGCGGTTGGATCTTTACTCATTAATAACTTTTTCCTAATTATGTTTGGTGCCCTTCAAATAATTAGCTACTTTTGTCCTATGTTGTCTTAGTCAAATGTAATTTTCTCTCCTATATATTCTCACGAGTGAATGCTTCCTGAGATATATATACATGAAAGCCCGTCGAGTTCCATGTAGATTTTTGCTTGAAGAGTATCCCGTTACCAGGCCGTGATTTCCGCCCCATGACTATTAAATAAAAAATGAATTATCATATCATGCTTCAGCTTGTATATACGTCACTAGCTTGATTTACTCGCTGACTACATTGGAATTAAGTGGTTGATTTTTTCTTACACTAGAATTTCGAAATTTGTCAAGTGTAGATGAAAGTGGAACCATTTTGAAATTACACACATCTCAAACTTGGGCAATTTGTCAGGCGCAGGTGAAACCATTTTGAAATGACACTTCTCAAACCTGTGCCTCTCTCTCTCTCTCTCTTGCGACTAGCGGGATTGGGAGAGGAAGGGAGAAGGGGGTGATAGGGGAAGAGGGGAAGGATGAGAAGGCGAGGAAAGTAGAGGAGGAGGGAGGGAGGGAGGGAGGAGAAGGGGAAACTAGAAAGAGCGAGGAGAGGGAGGGATAGACAAAATAAGGAGAGGGGGAGGCGGTGGTGACAGCGGCAACAGTGGACTTAGATGGAAATGATTAGAAACAGTGGTGATAGAATAGAGAAATGCGCTTATGTTTTTCGATATTTTAGAGTGTGCATTTTAAGATTTTGTAATATTTTAAAAGCATTTTTACAGACAAAATTGTTAAAAAAAAAAAAACTTGTTTATCACAAACATTCTTTCTTGTTTTTTTTTGGATAATTCAAAAACATTCTTAAAAATAAGGGTGCCAAACAGAGCCAAGAGTCCAAAGTAATACTAGTATTTACTAGCTTGGACATCTTAATTGTAATGTTAGCACGGCGAGACTTCTTGCTTGTCATGTGTCGTAATTTTTGGTGTGATACCATCGAAAGGTGCTTCTAGCTCTGCAATTAGTAGCGCCAATCCTACAGTGTAGGTACTAAGACGATGTAGACAATACGATAATAGAAGTATGAAAAAACAACAAATTTCGTCACTAATCAAAAGTGATGTCTACCATCACTTTCATTAATCCAATTTCGAATTCACCTTATCCGTGATTATATAATATAGCTGCTTTGTCAACTGCAAAGTCTTCCCGAAAGGGAGTGGCAACATGGTATACAACGGAGTTTGGCCTACAAGACACTAGTGATTAGTGGTCCTTCGAGAGAAACATGTTCATTTTTTGGCTTATTAATATGTTCATGAATCAAAGCGCACGCAATTGGCTGAAATTTACTTCTGCTATAAGTTGAGACAATTATTTCAAAAAAAAAAAAAAAAACCAAAACTATTTCCAAATTTAGGAGGCAAAAAAAGAAAACTATTTACTTCTGAGATGCCAGTTTGCAGCATATTTACTGAATTTTGGGTTTTCAATTGTAATTGCAGGTACGAAGAGGGAATAAATTGATTTCGATCTTCAGACATGTGTGGTTTCCTTAATCTAGTTGCACTAGCATAACCCAACTTCTGGTAATTATTATTAACCGGTTCAAATTAAGGAGTTGAAAGAATAAATTAATGTCTTTGCATATATAAAGCTTGTAAAACTACACTAGTTAATGCATCGGTTGTCATCTGTATATGGTCATCAAAGAGCAACTTTTTTTTTCGCCCCAACCATAATATATTATGGTCCTAAGCTCTTGTTCCTCTTATATGTAAGACGAGTTTTATTACCCTAAGCTGATAACTTTTCAATCTTTCTACACTCTTTAGTTGTAATAATACTACTATTATTAGAGTCGTAATCTAGAATCACCTGGCTAGGAAAGACACCAAAATAAGAACTTTCAGTGACAACTAATGAACACCCTCGCAGTCTATTCTAAGATGAAGTTAAAAGAGTGTTTGGCTCTAATTAGCCAAGACTTACAAGTAGACTTGTAAAGAAGTGCTTGCTTGACGTAGTGCATGTATGCTCTTGACTTCTTTCCCGTGTCATCTTCTTGAATAACATCGTGCTACAATAATATTCCACTCGTTTGTTTTTAGCCTTCTTCTCAACTTCAATTTAGTGGTGGACCATAGCAGACACTGTAATATGATATCCATGCATCATAATCCGGCCTGAAAGCTGCCTTCGCAATGCAACCTTCACCGTCTGGCAGAAGCTTCATTCCTTTTTTTACTAGTCTTTATGTTTTATTTATTTAGTTTTTAAATCCTTTCAGCAAGAGACGGAAGCAAAGATCAGTAACAATATGGAAATATAGAATTGAGGTGATACTAGGCTAGGGCTGACAGTGAAAATTGCCTGAGGATTGCAAGCTTTCCATCCTTCATATTCTAAATCTAACTCAGTACCAATGTTTTTGAAAACCAGTAAAAATCAGGAGGTTCAACAGGTTTTTATTAAGTATTTATTTTTTAAAATAAATATTTTAGTTTTATTCAAAATTTTTAACACTAGAATGAATAAAAAATTATTCAACTTTCGAACCGGAATCGAACCAGTTGAACCGATCGAATCGTGCATCAAAAGGTTCTCCGCTTCACTTTCCGGTCCGAATTTAAAAACATTGCTCAATACCTGCAATTTTATTGACACCGCCCCAAACGGATGTAATTTCTTTGTTGGGGTGTCCATTTTGACGCCTGGCTTCCAGTGAAAGTGTCATCAGAGGAGGAAAATTCCATATATTTACATTTCATCTCTTCCTAATTAACCATAGCCTGTTTATCAAGTATTTCCTTTTGGGATGCATAAACACTAAACAGGGCTACATGCATATTCATAGTTTTTTTTTTTTTTTTTGTATTTTGAAGTGTCATAAAAGAGATGACACTTCAAATCATTTTCCAGTATTCTTCAAGTACTGGACAGGAAAATGGCATGTGCTTTCACATGCTCAGTCCTAGAGCGAATTTTATGTCGCAGTCCTCGTAGTCTCTCGTCTCGTCAGATGGAATTGGAAACAACCATAAAATTTCATCTAAAGTCTTTTTGAGGTAAATTTCTCCTTCAGTCAAAGACTGGGCAGTGTCTAGACGCGGAACTTCACGTAAATTATTTGCCATAACTAACGGAAAGGAACTTTAGCCAGCGATCGTATTCCGTAATATAGAGTGTGTTTGGACAGGAGATTATTTGTTCAAATATATTTGTTTATATTACCATTACAATTTCCAATACACCTTTTTATCTTCCCAATTACCTTTTTATCTTACATACATCACATTACAAAAAGTGCTACAGTAAAAATATATCAAATAATTTACAATAGTAACTTTGATATTTAAGACAAAGGGTTTTTCCTTTTGGCGGTCAACCGACCCACGTTACCACGACGCAGAAGACCTTCAACGGTATATTGGTAAATCGGCGTATGCATACTTGCCGAGAGGGAACAAGCAAAAAAGTGTTACAAAAAAAAAAAAAAAATTTCAAATTTTATTCTACGTGCATCATATAAACACAATTTTTAATCACTCACGTGCATCATATCATATCAAAGAAAGTGTTGTAGTATTATTTCAAATAATTTTTCTTAAGTAATCTCCGGTCCAAACGGACCAAGAATTATTGTTTACCAAAGACTGAACAGCTGCATGGAAAATGGAAATTAGATTATGTGATCGTAAATTTGTAGTAATTGCTAACGGCGACCGAATATTCTTCTGTGTTAGTCCAAGTAAACCTGAAAGCAAGGTTTGCTCTTGCAGAACATGACGAGTCCTATAAAACAATGAACCTTGACGATGGATGAACCATCTCTGGTCGACTGGTCAGTCACCACAGAAGGAGCATAACTTTTCATTTGGGGAGAGAATGCGGGTCTTCCATTCCATTCCGTACCCGATGAAGCTGCTGTAAAAGAATTCAACGGAACACGTGGATCACTGAGGTGTACCCATTTTGCATAAAGGAGTTGAGAAGAAATAAGGAACGGAAGCAACCGGACCTTTTTATCCCCCTTTTTTTTTTTTTGGGTTCCTTCCTTCCTTTCCTTTCCTTTCCTACGGGAACCAAACCACACTACTATCTCCAGTACATGCAACAAATACACAATTCTTATGTGATTATGTCTGCACGTGTTTGTAACAGGTCTTACTGATCTCTTAGCAATAATATCTAATCCCGTTATAAAATTCATATCACAACTTGTGGAAGAGGGAACCTAATAAATTATGAAGATTCAGAAAAGAACTTGTGTTCTAGCTATATACATGGGAAAACATTCTCCACTTCATTCCGAATGTTATTCTTCATTTGTCTGTTAGAGCACCTGCAAGCGATCAACATGCAAACTTACAAGACTATTGCGTCATTACCATCACCATTCATCTTCAAGACTAGCACGGTGGAAACACAAAACAGTGCACACAAATATGAAGAAAGAAGTAAATTCAATGAACATAGCTCCGGTTCCAATCAGATTCGCATGCCTGAGAATGATTGGAATGGCTAGGCTCCCCACTGCTGATGCCCCTGTTAAGAACTTTGCAGCATCTATCCATCTATGAGAAAAGAAGAGAGTCCGAGTTACACAGTGCAAAAAACAGCAGAAATCTGGAGCAAAACCAACAGAAATCAATATATCTCCACAATAAATCAGTGAAGGAAAGAAAAGGGGAAGATGCAGCGCAGCATCCTCTTAAGAGCAACCAAATAACCATATACTGAGATCGTGTTTCCAGAACAGAAACATGTTAAAGCAATGAATATCAGCAAGCTCTAAAAGTATGAACTTGGAAGGGAATGCTTGCTAGAAGGAACAGATAGCAGCAACCGTTATATGAAAAAGAATGAGACCTCGTACACCAAAAATCAAACAAGAAGGCAGGCCAAGAATATTCAGAAATTCAAATTCTTCGAAAACATCTGTGGCAAATAAGAGTGACAGAGAATGCCTCAAAAATGTTTCTTGCATGTCAACTTAATATTCTAAGGGCTACGAAAAATCTCAAAACGAATTTTTAAATGACTTGATGGACCACTCCTATCAAGCTTCGGGATGAAGCAATCAAGTTGGACGGCTAAAAGAAAAGGTCACAAGGCCACCAAGTTTGTGATTAGACATAAAAAAGCATCCCATGAGTATAGTAGCAAAGTACCTAAGTTGGATAGAAAATGTAGTGAACTTTTCCAAATATATACTCGGTGCAAAACGTGCAAACACAATACACAAAATTAACTGCACGTCCTCAGCTTTGTGACTGGACATAAAAAAGCATTCCATGTAGGATAGCAGCAAACTAACCAAGCTACCTCAGCTTTGTGACTGGACATAAAAAAGCATTCCATGTAGGATAGCAGCAAACTAACCAAGCTACACATCAAAAGTGGTGAACCTTTTCCAAGTATATACTTCGGGCAAAACTTACAAACACAATACACAATTAACCGCATGTCCTTGACCTTGTGATTAGACATAAAAAAGCACCCCATGTAGGATAGCAGCAAAAGTAACTAAGCTACACATAAAAAGTGGTGAACCTTTGCCAAACATATAGTTGATGCAAAACTTGCAAACACAGTACACAAAATTAACTGCATTTCCTTAAGATCACTCACCCTCCACCGTCACGACTAGTTAAGAACTGAGTAGTCCCACCACCAAAGAACATACAAGGCATGGGCACTAGAACATACATAAGAGCTGAAAAAACAAAGACTGGTCAGTAAGTCAGAAGAAACAGTGTTCAATAACTACACCTCCTAAATGTTATTACTCTTTGCATTACAAGAAAAAACGGCATTAACCCACCAACCTGATAACAATGGCCACCAGTTACTGTATATTGCACAAGCCTGTAAAGAAGAATAGAAAATTTACTGCAACAAGCGAAAGTACAAGTTTACAACTGCACAACTACGCACTAATGCACAGAGGCGAAGAAAAATCAACCATTTAAAATAGAACATAAATCTTTCAAAATCCATTAGCAAAAGAGTCTAATCAAAAGTTTGCAAAGTGAAAAGCAAATTTCTCCTTTACCTAATTGATGATTTTGAAAATTTGCACTCTATAAAGTTGTAATATAATTGGTATACTAACAGAATTCCCTCTTTCTATTGATCCTTCTGTTTCATCTGTGAGAAAATATGACTAAAACACTAACTTCAATTGCTCAACAGCAATATACAGGCACCATTTAGTGGTTCGGTCTATTGATGGGGTATGGTAACCAGATCTACACTTTAGAAAGCAAATTGAAACATCTATTTCAACCATTTCATGCATGATGAATTCTGAATATCAATTTCAAAGTTAAGCAGACTAGCCAGCCTCACATTCACAAAATGAATATGCTAAGATCATTTTTCTTTAGTTTTTCATTAAAATTATAGTCAGAGTTGTATTCTTTTGTTTGTATCGAGCAACCAGTGCTCTTAACTTGTTAAAATAATTTTAAAATTCCTATTGATATAGGCCAAGAAATGATATTGATGGGGTATGGTAACCAGATCTACACTTTAGAAAGCAAATTGAAACATCTATTTCAACCATTTCATGCATGATGAATTCTGAATATCAATTTCAAAGTTAAGCAGACTAGCCAGCCTCACATTCACAAAATGAATATGCTAAGATCATTTTTCTTTAGTTTTTCATTAAAATTATAGTCAGAGTTGTATTCTTTTGTTTGTATCGAGCAACCAGTGCTCTTAACTTGTTAAAATAATTTTTAAATTCCTATTGATACAGGCCAAGAAAATGATAATTTTAAAGATTCTCAGAAACTTTAAGGTCAAGACTAGCTGTACTGCTGGTTGAGGGATGAGATTGCACAAAAAAATCATCAAAGAAAACCTCGACCCATGATAGAACTTGATTACTAAAACAGGCATGAAGACTTGAACAAACTGCTTACAGAAGAAAGTTGCACCATCCAAAGACATCGCTCTCACAAACTACAAACGTATCCAAAACAATCACCCTAAAATAGGCTCATAAAACCTACCAGGATCTGTAACAATATGCTAGCTGAGAACATAAAAGCAAGCCCTGCAAGCCTGATACGTATGAGTAAAGTTAGAATTAAAACTAAATCAGAAATTCAGAACAAACCCAAATGTCAACATCGAACTTACACTGCATCCGATGAGCGAGCACCATGAAACAAGAACCCCAGGAAACCGATTAGAACGACCAAAGAAGAAGTGTTAGCGCTTTGAAATATCAAACATATCAAAATGCAACCAACGGGATACAATGTCCGCTTGAAACCAACAACTACTAAATCTAAATCTCCCCGTCATTTAGATAAAATACTCCACTTTCTCTCTGCTCTCTCTACTCAAATAGGATTAATAAATTGCAATAATTCACGCTCGATGGCAGAACTACGATATATAAAGCGTGAAAATGCGTTAAGAATTTTTTTTTTTTTTTTTTTAAAACAGAAGTCAGCCACTAAAATTTCAATATACGCGGACCTGGGCTTTTAGTTCACACAAGTCCATTCATATTTCGTGAAATTAAAGACTAGAACAATCTCATAATAACGTTCATATACAAAAGCAATCCTGATTATCAAAATGATAGAACTCTAGAGTACTGTTAACAATTGAAATTGAGTTAATTAGTCAACTGCAAAATTAGACAAAATACTTAATAATAATAATATCAGACGGCACTGCGTTAGAGCAGTTGAGTAAATGCGAAAAGTCAATCGAATAAGCGTGTACCTTCAACGGTCATCGCCATAGCTGAGCAGGATCAAAAGGGGGCAAAAGTTGCAGATATTTTAGTAAAATCAGGGTTTTCGACTTTGCAGGAGAAGATGGGAGGACGATCGACAAAGAGGACGGAACAGGTAAGGTGAAACCGTGAGAGTTGATGGAGCACAGCGGAAACTACTTTCCCTTCATGACTTTTGCCAATTTCTTTTTTAAACTGGATATTCCAGAGTTTGGAAGCCAAAGTTCAAGTTACATCTGTATATATTTGCTGTGCACCGGGTTGCCGCGGTCCTAAATGGTAAAACTGTATCTTTTTCGCTTTTTGTTCCACATCTTTTTTTTTTATTTTTGGGATCTAATTTTAGGTTTTTTTTTTTTTGCAGAAAATAAAATTCAATTTTAGTGAATCACTAAATACTAAATACAGAGGATAATAAATGTGAATATAATTATTTAAATTGTATGTATGTGTCTGATAAATGCTTACGAGTCATGACACACCTTTTTAGGAAAAAAAAAAAGAAAATACTTTGAATTAAATATATTGTCGATATCAAAACATTTGATTTATTGATTGCTAAAAACCCCTTTCGTCTTATGCCTAGGTTGCTGAATTTAGAAGACCAGGTTCAAAAGAGATAGAGCTTAATACAAAACAATAGTTACGAAGATAGGAAGAAAATATAATACAATGACGAGGATTTTTTGGTTTAAAGTTATATGAATTATCCCCAATAATGTACCAAACAACTTCATGGTAATTTTAAATGTTTTATAGTTGAATTTTAGACAATGTGGTTACTACTTAAGCTTTTAATTACTCAACAGAAATAATTAAACATTAGGTCATTATTAAAGATTAAAAGGAAAGCTGCAGATAATTTTTTAAGAGTTTTCACATAAAAAAAATGAAAAAGGTGTTTTAAGTGCGGACACGTGATCTCATGTGACCTCTTTCTCACAAAAATTAAACAAAATCCGTCAATTGTTCACTTTCCCAAATTTTGTTATATTTGAGACCAAATTTGTTTTATGAAACAAATTGGGGACTACTTTTTACGCATGACCTATAGATTGGGAATCAAAATTTCAATTCTTCCTAACGTATGAAAACCTGTCAGTTATCTTAAAATTGCATCAATCAAATGTCTTATTTAACTGCATAAAACCCACTTTATTTTAAGGTGGTATGCCTTCTACATGCATAGTTCGTGAAATATGGAACAGATATAAATACGAGTGTTTGGATAATAGATTATTTGTAAAAATTTATTTACATGTATCATCAATATATTTTTAATCACCTTCTTATTTCACATTTATCATATCAAAAAGGTATTACAGTATTTAAAAAAAAATAATCCCAAATAATCTAATATTCAAACACATTTTTTTTTTCATGTAAGTGGGAGGTTTTGAAACTATTATATATTACTTACAATCCTTTCCACCAAACTACCCAACCCAACAATTCCCTGAGATGTGTTGTATGTATGAATATTATGTGATTTTTTTTCGAAAGTATGATTAAAAGGTTAGCACAAAAATACGTATTCAATGAAATTTATGCATATAAATTTCTACACGAATAGTATGAATATATTTAAAAATTATAAAACTTAAAATACAATTAGAATTTCTATATATTTTTTAAAGAATGTGCTATATTTATACTAATTTTAACTCGTGTCCTTGTATAGGAGATGGTAAATTTATTGGAATTTCATCACCTCATTACTTTTATATGTATAAATCTACAGAATTATATTATATGTCAATGTTCTTTTATAAATAACCAAGAAGATAAGCCATTGTCTTTATTCAAAATTTAAAAATTTTCAAAATTGAATTATAATCCATGAAGTATAATATGTCAAAAATTTATTATGTGTTTTACATAATTAATTAAAAAGTATGAATATTTTTAAAATATAAAAAATAGAAAAGTTTTTGAATTATGTGTAAGAATGAATATATATATATATATATATATTACATAGGTATACTACGAATATTTACTAGAGTAAAAAATCTGGATGGCCCTCAAACTATTAAACTCATCGACTTTTAATTCTCTAACTATTAAATGCATATTTTTGCACCTCGAACTTGTGATGCGGTATATTTTCCACCCCTTTTAGCTACAGAATTTTTTGGAAACTTCCCTTAGATTTATGTAAATATTACTTGACACTTTTAAAGTTTAAAACAAATCACATGTGAAAAAAAAAAAAAATCACTAATCTTTCATAAAACCATACTTTTGTAACTGTCTTACCCTTGTATTATTAAAATATTCTTATAATAATAATACAACGTAGAGATATATTTTTCTCCCAATTCTACCATTTTGTGTTGTTTTATGTTGAATTTTCTATCAAATTGATTACAATATAAGATTTACGTGGTTTGTTTTAAAATGTTTGGCCTAAAAATTGATTACCATACTTTTATGTTGAATTTTCTATCAAATTGATTACAATATAAGATATATGTTTCTCCCAATTCTACCATTTTGTGTTGTTATTTTTTATAATGTTTGGCCTAAAAATTGTTAAAGTATTTAAGATCATTTTGTGAATTCATGTGCTATGATGCTCATTAATGGATCCACCTCACTGATATGAAAGTTGAGTGATATCTTTAAAACTTTAAAGAAGTAGTTTTAAAGGAAGGTTTTTTTTTTTTTTTCCCCCGATAATCCTAAACGAGGGTTTTTGAAATTCTCTTTAGCTAAAAGGGTGAAAAGTATACAGTTCATATTTACTAACTGGGTGTATCTACGCAACGGCATCGGGGAAACGAGAGAACCGGCACCACTATTGATGGTCATAGGCAAGAAACGTATTCCCGACTTAAAAACCCCAAATAGCCCCTGGTCGTAGCACAGTAACTAGCGAATTCGCCACCGTCTTAGTGTTTGACGGACGAATTTGATCGATTGGGCAAAGGGCATAGGGGCGTGGACCACCCGGTGGGCAGAAAAGCAAATAGGCAAAAGGAGTAGGGTTAATTAAGTCAAAAAGACGGTTGGTATATGGTGGGCAAAATAGCAACCGACGAGCACCCACCAAGGGGGGAGGCTCCGGAGCTTGGGAGACATCACAGTCACACACACCCCTTACTGTCGGAGAGAGAAACAAAGCCCAAAAGCCGCCCCCCCCACGACTCCCCAGCCCCACCCCACCGTCTCGTCTTAAAACGCCTTCTCTTCTTCTACAGTTTTCCACTATTTTTAATACTCCAGACGCAGTTCCTTAAAAAACGACAAGAAGAAAAAAAAGGAACGAACAAAAGTAACAGGTATAGCACAGTCAACTATATATGTTACTGGTTCCCAGTATAGAGCCAACCATCGCAAGCTTCTTTCTCGGAGTTTTTGAAAGGTAAGCTTTTTTCTCTCTAATTGTACTTTTGCCCCCTATTTTTTGCTTCAGCTGAATCTTTTTTGCATTATTGATTGAAATTTTAAAGATTAATGCACGTGTTGTTTCTTGTTCAACTTTGTGGTTTCCGCTATAGTTGCCAGATTCCTGTTAGGGGTTTAAATAATGAGTTTAGAAGCTGTAATGCTATTAGCCCGCTGGTTTTTAGGGCTTTCTTTTTTGTAGTCTAATTAATGCGTAATGACGGTTTAGTTGGTTTGCTTTTTTAACTGCTAATTGTTGTTAGCCAAAATGGTGCTTTTTTTAACAGTTTGGATGTCTGACATAACAAAAAATGACTTCGGGTTTAGTTTCTAGGGTTTCGAGAATTTGATGATAGGATTGATTGCTGGGTTTGGATGTGAAATGCGGATTTTTATGTGCTTTTAGAGCTGAAATTCAGGTTCTTTTTCTGAAAAGAATGTTTTTCGTGAAATGCTTATTACGTATGCGTACAGTTCACTGTATTCTGGAATTGCCGTGAGCATATGTTAGAAATTTCAGCGGTGTTCTGATTATTACGTGGCTATATGACTGATTTTAGAAAAATTACTTTTGTATGTCCTCACAAACTGTCGGTCAATTTTTTTTTTTTTTTTCAGTTAGCAACTATACAACTTCAAGTTTGCATTTCAACCTTTTGATAAAATTATAAACTTTCCGCATATCAAAATGTTAGCTTGGTCTATTACACTTCGACAAAACGCCCAAAAAAAGAAAAAGAAAATGGGACAGCAAACGACTTGGTGTCGCATTATGTGGAGAGATGGGGTTCAAGCTTGTCAATACAGTAAACTTGAGTAATGTCTATGTTGTCTGGGGGGAAGTTGTCTCACTTGGCATAACTTTTAAATCTTCCTTTTCTAACGAACAACTTACTCTGGAACTATACCAGGGAGTTGGTTTGAAGCATATTTGAATGGCGTGGACGGATAAAGATAATGGCAATGTGAAAGAAAGAGATTTGGCTGGTGAAAATGGTTTTTTAAATGGAGGGCAGCCTTCTACAGTTTCTGGAGGTTGTCAAGTTAGCAATAGTCCTGTAAAGAAGATCTTTGAAGGGAAGGATGCTCTGTCTTATGCCAATATTCTCCGCTCCAGAAACAAGTTTGTTGAGGCACTTCAGATATATGAGAGTGTATTGGAGAAGGATAGTGAAAATGTTGAAGCTCACATTGGTAAAGGAATCTGCTTGCAGATGCAGAATATGGGTAGGCTTGCTTTTGAGAGCTTTACTGAAGCCATCAGACTAGATTCGCAAAATTCATGTGCTCTCACACATTGTGGCATTTTGTACAAGGAAGAGGGCCGCCTTGTGGAGGCTGCTGAAGTATGCTTTTCGCATTTTGGTTATTTATTTCGTCTAAAAAGCACTTACATTGTTATTACTTTGCCCTATTCAGTTATTTTTTTTTGGTCTTATTCTACTGTTATTTCCCTTATCTCTTACAACTTCTTGTATAACCATAACTTTGGCTTCTAGATTTACCATGTTGAGTTTCCTCATGCATAATCGTCCTCACGTTGGACTATTGGAAACTTTTCCCTCTCTATATATGTGCGTATACATTTGGATGAGCTGGTCTGAATTTGCATACACTCGATATGTCTATCACATGGGTGTATGTTTCCCCCTCTCTGACTTGGATCTGATTTACATAAATTAGTCACTGTCACTGTTGCTTCTTGTTGCATTTAATCTTGAATCGTCTCTAACAGTAGAAAAGCGGGAAGAAGTTTAAATTGATATTGCAACGACTTTTTCTTCTTCATCTGGACATATCAGGATATAGATCAAATTAAGGCAAAACCACAGTCTGAGGGAC